CGCCCAAAAAACCGAAAAAAAACCCACGCATTGGAGATGAGGGCCCGAGGAGGACCGGAAGAGGACCCGAAAACCAGACTAGTGAACGCAAGTTTGTGCCTGAGGTGCAAGATTCGGGTCGGCTTCAGCGGGCGGCAACGGCAAGTGGAGTCTGTCAGAGCATATGAGTGCGCTGCAGCTTTTCAACAAAAACAGCAAGAGATTGCTGGACGCCTGGAGCTGCTGAAGCGGCCGTTTCGCCCGGATGTTCTGGAAGCCTTGAGGCCCTGGGCGAACCAATACGCAGAGCTCAAGATGCGCTACAAGTTCCTTGTCCTGCGCGGCGGGTCGCAGACTGGCAAGTCGACCTTGGCAAAATCGCTCGGCGACGCTTTTGGGTGGCGGCCGCCTTATGTCCAGACGGTTCAAAGTGCGCCGGCTCCCGACCTGAAGGAGTTTCAGCGGGAGGAGCGCGGTTACATTGTGTTCGACAAGGTGAACCACATGGACTTTGTGTTGAACGAGCGAGCTTTGTTCCAGTCCAACAATGACATCCATACTCTGGGAAGCTCCCGAACGGGAATCTACTCCTATCCGGTGTGGTTGTTTCAAATGCCAGTGGTTGTAACTGTGGATTTGTCTGCAGAGTGGAACTCTTCGGAGTTGTGGCTGGCAGACAATATGTTTGAAGTTTTTTTGCAGAGCCCGTGCTACACTTGAGCAATCTACACTTGAGCGCGATCTTAGTGTCAATGAAAAAGGCGCTGCCAGACTTGAAAATCTAAGTGTGACTAATCAATCCGCAAGCCAATTTCCCACGACTGGAGAACCTAAGTTGCCGGGGCGCTTGGCGTGTTCTTTGTGGAAATTGTTGTTGCAAGGGCCAGGCTTGAGCGCGAGTTGAGCTGCGCAGGGCGACTGGCAGCGCGTGGGGCTGTGTGGGAGTTTCGCGTGTGTCTGGCGCCAGGCTCTTGCGGGCAGCCTTTGTCCTGGAGAGAGCTGGCGGCTTCAAGGTGCTACGTGGGTGGGGGGAGCTGTTTCTGCCTTAGGGTTTTCGAGCTGCTGTTTGAGAGCCGATGTTTGACAAAAGACTTGGTCCTGCGGGCAGTGCTTCCCCGCACCGTATTTGTGGTTTGTTGCACGTCCGTGTCGCATTTGCCAAAGAGGCGCCTCTCCGAAAGCTTTCTTCCCAAATACTGGGTCTTTCAAGTTTTTGGTCCAGCTCCGGAGCTTCGAACATGTTTTTCCGAAACGAGGCATTTTGGTCGTTTCTGCCTTAGGGTTTAGGGTGCGGACTTGTCAGCTCGTTTGCCCCGGCGCGGGTTGCAGCGCCCGCGCTTTAAACGCAAAGGAGAAGAGGCAAGATTTCGCATCGTGTTTTGAGCCAATGCAACTGCCAAAGAGGCGCCTCTCCGAAAGCTTTCTTCCCAAATACCGGGTCTTTCAAGTTATTGGTCCAGCTCCGGAGCTTCAAAAGCATGTTTTTCCGAAACGAGGCATTTTGGTCGTTTCTGCCTTAGGGTTTAGGGGCGGATTTTGTCAGCTCGCCTTATGCCCCGGGAGGTTGGAGCGGGCCGCCCGCACCGCACTTTAACGGCAAAGGAGAAGAGGCAAGATTCGCATGTGTGTTTTGAGCTTAGTGTTCGAGGAAGGGCAGTGTTTTGAGGAGCAGCGGGTTGCCTTTTGTAGGAGTTTATTTAGTTGTGGTGTCAAAGCCCACCGTTCGCTTCCAGCAGCGCCGGCCCACTTCTAGAGCCTTGCCAGCAAAGTTCAAGTAGCGAGCGCAGTCCTCGGCCATGGCGCCAAAAGCAAAGGCCAAGGTGCAGGCTGTTGCGCAGGCCAGCGAGGCTGGGGCAGCAGGGTGTGAGAGAAGACGCGCTCCAGCGTCGAAGGTTGGTGGTCCCCGTTTTGAAGGCAGATTCCTGCCCCCGCGAAGGGCTAGTTGCACGGGCCTCCCCAGTGCCGGTTTCAGACTGTCGACTGCCCGTTGAATTTCGTTTGAACTGTTTGTTTGTGTTGAGTTTGAGGTGTCCGCAGCTAGGTGGCTCTCACTGAAGCTTGACGCACGAGCATAGAGGCTTGCGCCACACACAGACACACGCAAGAGCGCGCAGTTGCCCGCCCACACACACACACATGCACATGCGCTCTTGGGTCCGAGACAGGTGCTTGCAGGCATGCTTCCTTCAAACAAAATCTATCGAGTTTTAACAGCTTAGGACTTGGTTCAATGGAACACCGCGTTTTAAGTTGCTTGCTGCGCTTGTGCTGGCTGACTATGGCTGCTGCCATGACGGATGCAGACTCCTTGCGATGTTTGGCTGAGCGCATTCGCGCGGTTTCGAAAGCCTTGAAGCGGAAGATCTGCGCAGCAGAGGCAGAGTCTGTGGCAACCCAACATGCAACCCTGCTGACCTATATTTGGAGCGGATACGACATGGGTGCTGCGGCCAGCTTTCTACGCGGGAAGCGCAGCCCGGAGAGAACCACAGAAGAGCTGGAAGACGAGGTTACCGCCTTCTTTCTAACCACGCCCTCGCAGGAGCTGGGAACGATGTCCATGGAGCCTTCGGGCCCCAACGCAGCTCACGCGGCCCGGCGCGTCGTGGAGTGGCGTTTGTTCCTCTGGCTGCGCGAGCAAAACTGCAAGCGCGGCGTTGCGCCGTCCCGTCTGCAGCTTGTCCGGCGTGCGCTCTTGCAAGTGCCGGAGGGGCTCCCAGCAGAGCTTGAGGAGAGAGTTCGCCGACCTTTGGGCGGGGCTGCGAGGGCGCAGCGCAAGTGGCTGCGCCGCTTTCGCCGTGGTTGGGCGGCGAAGTTAGGCCAGTTGCCCAGTGCTCCGCCAGTCCCTGTGCATCAGCTGCAAGAGAAGGCTTGGGCTTTGTTTTTCGGAGGAGAGGAGATTTTTGCGTAGGTTTTGTGGACCCCAAAATTAGGGCAATTTCGCGGACGCCAAAGCGAGGCGCGCGAAAGCAAAAAGAGAAGGCGGGCCTCCATTCAGGGTCCGTTTTTTTGACCGCGAAACGGGGTCAATGGCTTTGTGCTTTTTTTGGCAACCTTGACAGGCCCTGGCGTTCTTTCGCTGGGCGAATGGAGCGCAAGCTTTGGCAGACAAACCTGTCCTCATCATCAACATGGACGAGGCGAGCTTGTCGTTGCGCTTGACTGGGACCAAGGGGACCATTCTCAGGAAGCAGCCGCTGGCGTGTGACAGGGCCAGCCTCAGCGAACGCAGAAGCGCCTGCACCTACATGGCTTCTGTTTGCACAGACCCTGCTGTGACTGAGAGGCTCCAATGAGAGGCTCCCGCCCATGGGTTTTGTTTTTTTGTTTTTGTTTTTTTTCTTTGTTTTTGTTTTTTTTGGTGGGAAACGCGCACCAGTTCACAAAAGCTGTTCTTGCTGCAAAGTCAGAGTTGGGAGAGAAGCTTCTTCTATGGAAGGAGCAAAGTGCGTGGGTCAACCGGTTTGTCATGGTGAGGTACATCAAGAAACTATGCGAACGCCTTGGCTCCGACCTGACAGACCGCTGTGTGTTCCTTTTAGTGGACATGGCTTCGCCGCACATTCACGCAGATGTTTTCCGCATGGCGCGGAAGAAGGGGTTGAGAATGCTCTTGGTGCCTGCAGGCCTAACACCTTGGCTGCAGCCGTTGGACTCCCATGTTTTCCGACAATTCCGTGCCAAGTTGCAGGAGCTGTGGCTTTCGTGCAAGAGCGCTGCCCAAGATGGTGAAGTCAGCACTTGTGCTTGGCTACAGCTTGTGAACGAGGCAGTGCAGCAAGTTGTTGTTGGTCGAAACTGGGCGTACGCCTTCCGCCGCGCGGGTGTTCTTGGCCAGGACGAGCTGTCGCAGCGGCTTTTGAAGGCCTTTAACTGGAGCGTCCCGCCGAAAGTAGCGTTGTCTTTGCCAGCCGCTGGGCAGGCAGCAGCAATGTTCCCGCGGCGCCGCAAGGTGAATGTAGATGCTTGGGTTCATTGGACGGCAGTTGCTGCTGCGCCGCCGGTGCTGACTTTGGATTGATGCTCATTTGCAAGAAAAGAAAACGTGCGCGTTGCAGGCACTGGGGGGGCCCTTGGCTTCAGCTTGCCACGTGGTCCTGTTTTCTGACCTCAGAACTGGGGCCTGGTTTGCGGTTTCCGTTGGAGCCGTTCAGGCTTGGCTGCAGGAGGAGTTGGCCAAGCTGAAGCAGAGCCGTGCGGAGTTGAGGAAGGCAGTTGGCCTTGTGCAGCGGAGGTTGTTGCCAGGCAAAAAAAGCTTGCAAGCCATCCAGAAGAACCAAAAGGAGGGGCGTCTCGCCCGAAAGCGCAAAGTGCGCCTCTTGAAGGCCACTTGGCTTGGTGTCTTGGGCGTCGGGCAGGGCTGGCTCAGAGTTGAATTTGTGCGCCAGGCTGCCCGCCAGCTCTCCCGGGATGACTTAAAGCTACTCCTGGATGCGAAGGAGAAGCCGGAAGAGGGTGTGGAAGGCGGGCTTGAGTGTCTGCCGCTTTTTACATTGAAGCGCTCGCCAGGTTGAAGCTGCCTTGAAATAGTCCAAAGTTGCGCGCGGGCTTGGGCACAGGCGTGTAGTTAGGACGCAGTCCGGCAGTCAGACCTTGGGCGCGCAGTTCTGCCCGACTAGCGCGCTTGGCTGTTAGGGTCGCAAGCGGCCTGGACAGGCTTGTGGCTAAGGCCAAGCAGACAGTAGCGAGAGGGCAAAATCTTGCGCCGTGGCCAAAGTGAGTTGAAAAGGAGACGGAGGACTCAGAAGGTTTTTTGTGTGGCGGGTGCAACAACAGGGAAAACGGGGCTTTGTGCTGTTTGGCCGTGTCCTCGAAAAGCAAAGTCTGCGTGAGTGGATGGCGTGGACTGACTGGCAAACTCGGACATTGTGCCGGTTTTATTTTTGCAAGACAAAGAGCTGAGAAAGGAACCCTTCGAGCTCCCTTTTGTATTTCTTGTTGAGGGGGGTGAAGCAACGCTCATGACTCACCCGGCCAGGCTTTCTGCTTTGGCTACCTGGCCGTCTGGCAGAGGCGCGAGGGGAGATGCCCTTGAAGAGAGTCCGGTTCGGTTGGTCTTGAGCTGTCTAACCTGCAATTTTTTGACTGCCGTCTCAAGCAATTTGCTCTTTTGCTGAAGCGTTGTCAGTGGCCATGGCAGCGGCCGACAGCAAGAGGTTGACCACGCAGCGAAAGCGGGCTGCTTGTGGAGAGTTGAGGGCTCTGGCGTCAGAGCTTGGGGTCCAAGATGACAATTTGCGCTTGGACATGACTGCGGAGCAGTTCCGGCCGCAGCCAGGCTCGTGGAGAGCTTGCGCCACACCAGACCAGCGCCGGCGCTGGAGAGGGCGGTGAACCGGTACCAGAACATTGTGTGCCACCGCTCCCGGGCAGAGCCGCAGAGAATGCACGTTGCCAAGGGGAGGAGGCTGGTGTTGAGGAGGCGCGGCGGACCTTCCGGCTACGAGCAACTGGATGCTTGTTCACATATAATTCTGCAGACTTTCGGAGGGTCGTGTGGCCTGAGTTCATTGCTTGGCTGCGCACGCTGAATTTTCTTTTGCGCTGGACCGCCGCTATGGAAGAGCCCCTCAGGTCGCTGGTGGCAGGTCGTTTGCACATGCACGTTTTCATGGAGTTCAAGCAAGCTGTTGACTGGACTTCCTTGCAGTCTGTTTTGTTCCAGGGTGTGACTCCGCACGCGTCCCCGTGCACGGCGCGCGGGCCCAGCGTGCGGGACGCCTTGAACCGTGGCCATTTCTATGTCTTTGCAGACAAGCAGGGCACGTTAGAGGTGGCCACGTCGGGGTGGGTTCCTTGGAGTGATTACAGCGTGAAAGGCTGGTGGATCGACAACCTATGGACAGAGCACAAGCTGCGCCACGATGTTTACTTGGACTACGCGTGACGCGGCTGTTGCTCAGAAAGTTTTTGTGTTTGTCTTGAGGGCCACCGCCCCGTTTGAGCAAGCGTTGGGACTATAATGTTAAAAACACGTGTTGGAATCCATCTGCAGACGATGTTTGACTCGGCCTTTTTCCACTCCCTCCCTCCCTCCCCTTCTTCTAATAACATTGTAAAGCCCAAACGGGGTGTCGGACCCGCGCATTGTAAATGAGGACCCGAGGAGGACCCGAGGAGGACGCGAGCGGACCCGCGCATTGTAAATGGGGACCCGAATGCGGACCCCGCGCCTGCAAAGGACCCGCAAGCTTTTGAGAACCCGCGCCCAAAAAACCGAAAAAAAACCCACGCATTGGAGATGAGGACCCGAGGAGGACCGGAAGAGGACCCGAGGAGGCAGACTAGTGAACGCAAGTTTGTGCCTGAGGTGCAAGATTCGGGTCGGCTTCAGCGGGCGGCAACGGCAAGTGGAGTCTGTCAGAGCATATGAGTGCGCTGCAGCTTTTCAACAAAAACAGCAAGAGATTGCTGGACGCCTGGAGCTGCTGAAGCGGCCGTTTCGCCCGGATGTTCTGGAAGCCTTGAGGCCCTGGGCGAACCAATACGCAGAGCTCAAGATGCGCTACAAGTTCCTTGTCCTGCGCGGCGGGTCGCAGACTGGCAAGTCGACCTTGGCAAAATCGCTCGGCGACGCTTTTGGGTGGCGGCCGCCTTATGTCCAGACGGTTCAAAGTGCGCCGGCTCCCGACCTGAAGGAGTTTCAGCGGGAGGAGCGCGGTTACATTTTGTTCGACAAGGTGAACCACATGGACTTTGTGTTGAACGAGCGAGCTTTGTTCCAGTCCAACAATGACATCCATACTCTGGGAAGCTCCCGAACGGGAATCTACTCCTATCCGGTGTGGTTGTTTCAAATGCCAGTGGTTGTAACTGTGGATTTGTCTGCAGAGTGGAACTCTTCGGAGTTGTGGCTGGCAGACAATATGTTTGAAGTTTTTTTGGAGAGCCCGTGCTACACTTGAGCAATCTACACTTGAGCGCGATCTTAGTGTCAATGAAAAAGGCGCTGCCAGACTTGAAAATCTAAGTGTGACTAATCAATCCGCAAGCCAATTTCCCACGACTGGAGAACCTAAGTTGCCGGGGCGCTTGGCGTGTTCTTTGTGGAAATTGTTGTTGCAAGGGCCAGGCTTGAGCGCGAGTTGAGCTGCGCAGGGCGACTGGCAGCGCGTGGGGCTGTGTGGGAGTTTCGCGTGTGTCTGGCGCCAGGCTCTTGCGGCCAGCCTTTGTCCTGGAGAGAGCTGGCGGCTTCAAGGTGCTACGTGGGTGGGGGGAGCTGTTTCTGCCTTAGGGTTTTCGAGCTGCTGTTTGAGAGCCGATGTTTGACAAAAGACTTGGTCCTGCGGGCAGTGCTTCCCCGCAACGTATTTGTGGTTTGTTGCACGTCCGTGTCGCATATGCCAAAGAGGCGCCTCTCCGAAAGCTTTCTTCCCAAATACTGGGTCTTTCAAGTTTTTGGTCCAGCTCCGGAGCTTCGAACATGTTTTTCCGAAACGAGGCATTTTGGTCGTTTCTGCCTTAGGGTTTAGGGTGCGGACTTGTCAGCTCGTTTGCCCCGGCGCGGGTTGCAGCGCCCGCGCTTTAAACGCAAAGGAGAAGAGGCAAGATTTCGCATCGTGTTTTGAGCCAATGCAACTGCCAAAGAGGCGCCTCTCCGAAAGCTTTCTTCCCAAATACCGGGTCTTTCAAGTTATTGGTCCAGCTCCGGAGCTTCAAAAGCATGTTTTTCCGAAACGAGGCATTTTGGTCGTTTCTGCCTTAGGGTTTAGGGTGCGGATTTGTCAGCTCGTTTGCCCCGGCGCGGGTTGCGCCCGCACTTAAAACGCAAAGGAGAAGAGGCAAGATTTCGCATCGTGTTTTGAGCTAGTGTTCGAGGAAGGCAGTGTTTTGAGGAGCAGCGGAGTTGCCTTGTAGAGTTTATTTAGTTTCGTGTTGAAGCCACCGTCGCTTCCAGCAGCGCCGGCCCACTTCTAGAGCCTTGCCAGCAAAGTTCAAGTAGCGAGCGCAGTCCTCCGCCATGGCGCCAAAAGCAAAGGCCAAGGTGCAGGCTGTTGCGCAGGCCAGCGAGGCTGGGGCAGCAGGGTGTGAGAGAAGACGCGCTCCAGCGTCGAAGGTTGGTGGTCCCCGTTTTGAAGGCAGATTCCTGCCCCCGCGAAGGGCTAGTTGCACGGGCCTCCCCAGTGCCGGTTTCAGACTGTCGACTGCCCGTTGAATTTCGTTTGAACTGTTTGTTTGTGTTGAGTTTGAGGTGTCCGCAGCTAGGTGGCTCTCACTGAAGCTTGACCCACGAGCATAGAGGCTTGCGCCACACACACACACACACACGCAAGAGCGCGCAGTTGCCCGCCCACACACACACATGTGCATGCGCTCTTGGGTCCGAGACAGGCGCTTGCAGGCATGCTTCCTTCAAACAAAATCTATCGAGTTTTAACAGCTTAGGACTTGGTTCAATGGAACACCGCGTTTTAAGTTGCTTGCTGCGCTTGTGCTGGCTGACTATGGCTGCTGCCATGACGGATGCAGACTCCTTGCAATGTTTGGATGAGCGCATTCGCGCGGTTTCGAAAGCCTTGAAGCGGAAGATCTGCGCAGCAGAGGCAGAGTCTGTGGCAACCCAACATGCAACCCTGCTGACCTATATTTGGAGCGGATACGACATGGGTGCTGCGGCCAGCTTTCTACGCGGGAAGCGCAGCCCGGAGAGAACCTACAGAAGAGCTGGAAGACGAGGTTACCGCCTTCTTTCTAACCACGCCCTCGCAGGAGCTGGGAACGATGTCCATGGAGCCTTCGGGCCCCAACGCAGCTCACGCGGCCCGGCGCGTCGTGGAGTGGCGTTTGTTCCTCTGGCTGCGCGAGCAAAACTGCAAGCACGGCGTTGCGCCGTCCCGTCTGCAGCTTGTCCGGCATGCGCTCTTGCAAGTGCCGGAGGGGCTCCCAGCAGAGCTTGAGGAGAGAGTTCGCCGACCTTTGGGAGGGGCTGCGAGGGCGCAGCGCAAGTGGCTGCGCCGCTTTCGCCGTGGTTGGGCGGCGAAGTTAGGCCAGTTGCCCATTGCTCCGCCAGTCCCTGTGCATCAGCTGCAAGAGAAGGCTTGGGCTTTGTTTTTCGGAGGAGAGGAGATTGCGTAGGTTTTGTGGACCCCAAAATTAGGGCAATTTCGCGGACGCCAAAGCGAGGCACGCGAAAGCAAAAAGAGAAGGCGGGCCTCCATTCAGGGTCCGTTTTTTTGACCGCGAAACGGGGTCAATGGCTTTGTGCTTTTTTTGGCAACCTTGACAGGCCCTGGCATTCTTTCGCTGGGCGAATGGAGCGCAAGCTTTGGCAGACAAACCTGTCCTCATCATCAACATGGACGAGGCGAGCTTGTCGTTGCGCTTGACTGGGAACAAGGGGACCATTCTCAGGAAGCAGCCGCTGGCGTGTGACAGGGCCAGCCTCAGCGAACGCAGAAGCGCCTGCACCTACATGGCTTCTGTTTGCACAGACCCTGCTGTGAATGAGAGGCTCCCGCAGGTCTTGGTGGGAAACGCGCACCAGTTCACAAAAGCTGTTCTTGCTGCAAAGTCAGAGTTGGGAGAGAAGCTTCTTCTATGGAAGGAGCAAAGTGCTTGGGTCAACCGGTTTGTCATGGTGAGGTACATCAAGAAACTATGCGAACGCCTTGGCTCCGACCTGACAGACCGCTGTGTGTTCCTTTTAGTGGACATGGCTTCGCCGCACATTCACGCAGATGTTTTCCGTATGGCGCGGAAGAAGGGGTTGAGAATGCTCTTGGTGCCTGCAGGCCTAACACCTTGGCTGCAGCCGTTGGACTCCCATGTTTTCCGACAATTCCGTGCCAAGTTGCAGGAGCTGTGGCTTTCGTGCAAGAGCGCTGCCCAAGATGGTGAAGTCAGCACTTGTGCTTGGCTACAGCTTGTGAACGAGGCAGTGCAGCAAGTTGTTGTTGGTCGAAACTGGGCGTACGCCTTCCGCCGCGCGGGTGTTCTTGGCCAGGACGAGCTGTCGCAGCGGCTTTTGAAGGCCTTTAACTGGAGCGTCCCGCCGAAAGTAGCGTTGTCTTTGCCAGCCGCTGGGCAGGCAGCAGCAATGTTCCCGCGGCGCCGCAAGGTGAATGTAGAGGCTTGGGTTCATTGGACGGCAGTTGCTGCTGCGCCGCCGGTGCTGACTTTGGATTGATGCTCATTTGCAAAAAAGAAAACGTGCGCGTTGCAGGCACTGGGGGGGCCCTTGGCTTCAGCTTGCCACGTGGTCCTGTTTTCTGACCTCAGAACTGGGGCCTGGTTTGCGGTTTCCGTTGGAGCCGTTCAGGCTTGGCTGCAGGAGGAGTTGGCCAAGCTGAAGCAGAGCCGTGCGGAGTTGAGGAAGGCAGTTGGCCTTGTGCAGCGGAGTGTTGTTGCAAAGGCAAATTTGCTTGCAAGGCCATCCAGAAGAACCAAAAGGAGGGGCGTCTCGCAAGAAAGCGCAAAGTGCGCCTCTTGAAGGCCACTTGGCTTGGTGTCTTGGGCGTCGGGCAGGGCTGGCTCAGAGTTGAATTTGTGCGCCAGGCTGCCCGCCAGCTCTCCCGGGATGACTTAAAGCTACTCCTGGATGCGAAGGAGAAGCCGGAAGAGGGTGTGGAAGGCGGGCTTGAGTGTCTGCCGCTTTTTACATTGAAGCGCTCGCCAGGTTGAAGCTGCCTTGAAATAGTCCAAAGTTGCGCGCGGGCTTGGGCACAGGCGTGTAGTTAGGACGCAGCCGGGGCGCACAGTTCTGCCCGACTAGCGCGCTTGGCTGTTAGGGTCGCAAGCGGCCTGGACAGGCTTGTGGCTAAGGCCAAGCAGACAGTAGCGAGAGGGCAAAATCTTGCGCCGTGGCCAAAGTGAGTTGAAAAGGAGACTGGAGGACTCAGAAGGTTTTTTGTGTGGCGGGTGCAACAACAGGGAAAACGGGGCTTTGTGCTGTTTGGCCGTGTCCTCGAAAAGCAAAGTCTGCGTGAGTGGATGGCGTGGACTGACTGGCAAACTCGGACATTGTGCCGGTTTTATTTTTGCAAGACAAAGAGCTGAGAAAGGAACCCTTCGAACTCCCTTTTTTTATTTCTTGTTGAGGGGGGTGAAGCAACGCTCGTGACTCACCCGGCCAGGCTTTCTGCTTTGGCTACCTGGCTGTGTGGCAGAGGCGCGAGGGGAGATGCCCTTGAAGAGAGTCCGGTTCGGTTGGTCTTGAGCTGTCTAACCTGTGCAATTTTTTGACTGCCGTCTCAAGCAATTTGCTCTTTTGCTGAAGCGTTGTCAGTGGCCATGGCAGCGGCCGACAGCAAGAGGTTGACCGCGCAGCGAAAGCGGGCTGCTTGTGGAGAGTTGAGGGCTCTGGCGTCAGAGCTTGGGGTCCAAGATGACAATTTGCGCTTGGACATGACTGCGGAGCAGTTCCGGCGCGCAGCCGGAAGGCTCGTGGAGAGCTGCGCCACACCAGACCAGCGCCGGCAGCTGGAGAGGGCGGTGAACCGGTACCAGAACATTGTAGTGCCACCGCTCCCGGGCAGAGCCGCAGAGAATGCACGTTGCCAAGGGGAGGAGGCTGGTGTTGAGGAGGCGCGGCGGACCTTCCGGCTACGAGCAACTGGATGCTTGTTCACATATAATTCTGCAGACTTTCGGAGGGTCGTGTGGCCTGAGTTCATTGCTTGGCTGCGCACGCTGAATTTTCTTTTGCGCTGGACCGCCACTATGGAAGAGTCCCTCAGGTCGCTGGTGGCAGGTCGTTTGCACATGCACGTTTTCATGGAGTTCAAGCAAGCTGTTGACTGGACTTCCTTGCAGTCTGTTTTGTTCCAGGGTGTGACTCCGCACGCGTCCCCGTGCACGGCGCGCGGGCCCAGCGTGCGGGACGCCTTGAACCGTGGCCATTTCTATGTCTTTGCAGACAAGCAGGGCACGTTAGAGGTGGCCACGTCGGGGTGGGTTCCTTGGAGTGATTACAGCGTGAAAGGCTGGTGGATCGACAACCTATGGACAGAGCACAAGCTGCGCCACGATGTTTACTTGGACTACGCGTGACGCGGCTGTTGCTCAGAAAGTTTTTGTGTTTGTCTTGAGGGCCACTGCCCCGTTTGAGCAAGCGTTGGGACTATAATGTTAAAAACACGTGTTGGAATCCATCTGCAGACGATGTTTGCCTCGGCCTATTTCCACTCCCTCCCTCCCTCCCCTTCTTCTAATAACATTGTAAAGCCCAAACGGGGTGTCGGACCCGCGCATTGTAAATGAGGACCCGAGGAGGACCCGAGGAGGACCCGAGTGGACCCGCGCATTGTAAATGGGGACCCGAGGAGGACCCGAGGAGGACCCGAGCGGACCCGCGCATTGTAAATAAGGACCTGAGGAGGACCCGAGGAGGACCAGAGCGGGCCCTGAGCCCTGAATACCCCGCGCCTGCAAAGGACCCGCAAGCTTTTGACCCGCGCGCCCAAGCAAGGAACCGAGGAAAACCCACGCATTGGAGATGAGGACCCGAGGAGGACCGGAAGAGGACCCGAGGAGGCAGACTAGTGAACGCAAGTTTGTGCCTGAGGTGCAAGATTCGGGTCGGCTTCAGCGGGCTGGCAACGGCAGTGGAGTCTGCTCAGAGCATTATGGTGCGCTGCGCTTTTCAACAAAAACAGCAAGAGATTGCTGGACGCCTGGAGCTGCTGAAGCGGCCGTTTCGCCCGGATGTTCTGGAAGCCTTGAGGCCCTGGGCGAACCAATACGCAGAGCTCAAGATGCGCTACAAGTTCCTTGTCCTGCGCGGCGGGTCGCAGACTGGCAAGTCGACCTTGGCAAAATTCGCTCGGCGACGCTTTTGGGTGGCGGCCGCCTTATGTCCAGACGGTTCAAAGTGCGCCGGCTCCCGACCTGAAGGAGTTTCAGCGGGAGGAGCACGGTTACATTTTGTTCGACAATGTGAACCACATGGACTTTGTGTTGAACGAGCGAGCTTTGTTCCAGTCCAACAATGACATCCATACTCTGGGAAGCTCCCGAACGGGAATCTACTCCTATCCGGTGTGGTTGTTTCAAATGCCAGTGGTTGTAACTGTGGATTTGTCTGCAGAGTGGAACTCTTCGGAGTTGTGGCTGGCAGACAATATGTTTGAAGTTTTTTTGGAGAGCCCGTGCTACACTTGAGCAATCTACACTTGAGCGCGATCTTAGTGTCAATGAAAAAGGCGCTGCCAGACTTGAAAATCTAAGTGTGACTAATCAATCCGCAAGCCAATTTCCCACGACTGGAGAACCTAAGTTGCCGGGGCGCTTGGCGTGTTCTTTGTGGAAATTGTTGTTGCAAGGGCCAGGCTTGAGCGCGAGTTGACAGCGTGTGGGGCTGTGTGGGAGTTTCGCGTGTGTCTGGCGCCAGGCTCTTGCGGGCAGCCTTTGTCCTGGAGAGAGCTGGCGGCTTCAAGGTGCTACGTGGGTGGGGGGAGCTGTTTCTGCCTGAGGGTTTTCGAGCTGCTGTTTGAGAGCCGATGTTTGACAAAAGACTTGGTCCTGCGGGCAGTGCTTCCCCGCAACGTATTTGTGGTTTGTTGCACGTCCGTGTCGCATTTGCCAAAGAGGCGCCTCTCCGAAAGCTTTCTTCCCAAATACAGGGTCTTTCAAGTTTTTTGTCAGCTCCGGAGCTTCGAGAACTTGTTTTTCCGAAAACGAGGATTTTTGGTGTTCTGCCTAGGGGTTAGGGTGCGGACTTGTCGTCGTTTGCCCCGGCGCGGGTTGCAGCGCCCGCGCTTTGAAACGCAACGGAGAAGAGGGGGGGGATGGGGGGGGGGTGGGGGGAAGAGGCAAGATTTCGCATCGTGTTTTGAGCCAATGCAACTGCCAAAGAGGCGCCTCTCCGAAAGCTTTCTTCCCAAATACCGGGTCTTTCAAGTTATTGGTCCAGCTCCGGAGCTTCAAAAGCATGTTTTTCCGAAACGAGGCATTTTGGTCGTTTCTGCCTTAGGGTTTAGGGTGCGGATTTGTCAGCTCGTTTGCCCCGGCGCGGGTTGCGCCCGCACTTAAAACGCAAAGGAGAAGAGGCAAGATTTCGCATCGTGTTTTGAGCTAGTGTTCGAGGAAGGCAGTGTTTTGAGGAGCAGCGGAGTTGCCTTGTAGAGTTTATTTAGTTTCGTGTTGAAGCCACCGTCGCTTCCAGCAGCGCCGGCCCACTTCTAGAGCCTTGCCAGCAAAGTTCAAGTAGCGAGCGCAGTCCTCCGCCATGGCGCCAAAAGCAAAGGCCAAGGTGCAGGCTGTTGCGCAGGCCAGCGAGGCTGGGGCAGCAGGGTGTGAGAGAAGACGCGCTCCAGCGTCGAAGGTTGGTGGTCCCCGTTTTGAAGGCAGATTCCTGCCCCCGCGAAGGGCTAGTTGCACGGGCCTCCCCAGTGCCGGTTTCAGACTGTCGACTGCCCGTTGAATTTCGTTTGAACTGTTTGTTTGTGTTGAGTTTGAGGTGTCCGCAGCTAGGTGGCTCTCACTGAAGCTTGACCCACGAGCATAGAGGCTTGCGCACACACACACACACACGCAAGAGCGCGCAGTTGCCCGCCCACACACACACATGTGCATGCGCTCTTGGGTCCGAGACAGGCGCTTGCAGGCATGCTTCCTTCAAACAAAATCTATCGAGTTTTAACAGCTTAGGACTTGGTTCAATGGAACACCGCGTTTTAAGTTGCTTGCTGCGCTTGTGCTGGCTGACTATGGCTGCTGCCATGACGGATGCAGACTCCTTGCGATGTTTGGATGAGCGCATTCGCGCGGTTTCGAAAGCCTTGAAGCGGAAGATCTGCGCAGCAGAGGCAGAGTCTGTGGCAACCCAACATGCAACCCTGCTGACCTATATTTGGAGCGGATACGACATGGGTGCTGCGGCCAGCTTTCTACGCGGGAAGCGCAGCCCGGAGAGAACCACAGAAGAGCTGGAAGACGAGGTTACCGCCTTCTTTCTAACCACGCCCTCGCAGGAGCTGGGAACGATGTCCATGGAGCCTTCGGGCCCCAACGCAGCTCACGCGGCCCGGCGCGTCGTGGAGTGGCGTTTGTTCCTCTGGCTGCGCGAGCAAAACTGCAAGCACGGCGTTGCGCCGTCCCGTCTGCAGCTTGTCCGGCGTGCGCTCTTGCAAGTGCCGGAGGGGCTCCCAGCAGAGCTTGAGGAGAGAGTTCGCCGACCTTTGGGCGGGGCTGCGAGGGCGCAGCGCAAGTGGCTGCGCCGCTTTCGCCGTGGTTGGGCGGCGAAGTTAGGCCAGTTGCCCATTGCTCCGCCAGTCCCTGTGCATCAGCTGCAAGAGAAGGCTTGGGCTTTGTTTTTCGGAGGAGAGGAGATTTTTGCGTAGGTTTTGTGGACCCCAAAATTAGGGCAATTTCGCGGACGCCAAAGCGAGGCACGCGAAAGCAAAAAGAGAAGGCGGGCCTCCATTCAGGGTCCGTTTTTTTGACCGCGAAACGGGGTCAATGGCTTTGTGCTTTTTTTGGCAACCTTGACAGGCCCTGGCGTTCTTTCGCTGGGCGAATGGAGCGCAAGCTTTGGCAGACAAACCTGTCCTCATCATCAACATGGACGAGGCGAGCTTGTCGTTGCGCTTGACTGGGAACAAGGGGACCATTCTCAGGAAGCAGCCGCTGGCGTGTGACAGGGCCAGCCTCAGCGAACGCAGAAGCGCCTGCACCTACATGGCTTCTGTTTGCACAGACCCTGCTGTGAATGAGAGGCTCCCGCAGGTCTTGGTGGGAAACGCGCACCAGTTCACAAAAGCTGTTCTTGCTGCAAAGTCAGAGTTGGGAGAGAAGCTTCTTCTATGGAAGGAGCAAAGTGCTTGGGTCAACCGGTTTGTCATGGTGAGGTACATCAAGAAACTATGCGAACGCCTTGGCTCCGACCTGACAGACCGCTGTGTGTTCCTTTTAGTGGACATGGCTTCGCCGCACATTCACGCAGATGTTTTCCGTATGGCGCGGAAGAAGGGGTTGAGAATGCTCTTGGTGCCTGCAGGCCTAACACCTTGGCTGCAGCCGTTGGACTCCCATGTTTTCCGACAATTCCGTGCCAAGTTGCAGGAGCTGTGGCTTTCGTGCAAGAGCGCTGCCCAAGATGGTGAAGTCAGCACTTGTGCTTGGCTACAGCTTGTGAACGAGGCAGTGCAGCAAGTTGTTGTTGGTCGAAACTGGGCGTACGCCTTCCGCCGCGCGGGTGTTCTTGGCCAGGACGAGGCCTTTAACTGGAGCGTCCCGCCGAAAGTAGCGTTGTCTTTGCCAGCCGCTGGGCAGGCAGCAGCAATGTTCCCGCGGCGCCGCAAGGTGAATGTAGATGCTTGGGTTCATTGGACGGCAGTTGCTGCTGCGCCGCCGGTGCTGACTTTGGATTGATGCTCATTTGCAAGAAAAGAAAACGTGCGCGTTGCAGGCACTGGGGGGGCCCTTGGCTTCAGCTTGCCACGTGGTCCTGTTTTCTGACCTCAGAACTGGGGCCTGGTTTGCGGTTTCCGTTGGAGCCGTTCAGGCTTGGCTGCAGGAGGAGTTGGCCAAGCTGAAGCAGAGCCGTGCGGAGTTGAGGAAGGCAGTTGGCCTTGTGCAGCGGAGTGTTGTTGCAAAGGCAAATTTGCTTGCAAGGCCATCCAGAAGAACCAAAAGGAGGGGCGTCTCGCAAGAAAGCGCAAAGTGCGCCTCTTGAAGGCCACTTGGCTTGGTGTCTTGGGCGTCGGGCAGGGCTGGCTCAGAGTTGAATTTGTGCGCCAGGCTGCCCGCCAGCTCTCCCGGGATGACTTAAAGCTACTCCTGGATGCGAAGGAGAAGCCGGAAGAGGGTGTGGAAGGCGGGCTTGAGTGTCTGCCGCTTTTTACATTGAAGCGCTCGCCAGGTTGAAGCTGCCTTGAAATAGTCCAAAGTTGCGCGCGGGCTTGGGCACAGGCGTGTAGTTAGGACGCAGTCCGGCAGTCAGACCTTGGGCGCACAGTTCTGCCCGACTAGCGCGCTTGGCTGTTAGGGTCGCAAGCGGCCTGGACAGGCTTGTGGCTAAGGCCAAGCAGACAGTAGCGAGAGGGCAAAATCTTGCGCCGTGGCCAAAGTGAGTTGAAAAGGAGACTGGAGGACTCAGAAGGTTTTTTGTGTGGCGGGTGCAACAACAGGGAAAACGGGGCTTTGTGCTGTTTGGCCGTGTCCTCGAAAAGCAAAGTCTGCGTGAGTGGATGGCGTGGACTGACTGGCAAACTCGGACATTGTGCCGGTTTTATTTTTGCAAGACAAAGAGCTGAGAAAGGAACCCTTCGAACTCCCTTTTTTTATTTCTTGTTGAGGGGGGTGAAGCAACGCTCGTGACTCACCCGGCCAGGCTTTCTGCTTTGGCTACCTGGCCGTGTGGCAGAGGCGCGAGGGGAGATGCCCTTGAAGAGAGTCCAGTTCGGTTGGTCTTGAGCTGTCTAACCTGTGCAATTTTTTGACTGCCGTCTCAAGCAATTTGCTCTTTTGCTGAAGCGTTGTCAGTGGCCATGGCAGCGGCCGACAGCAAGAGGTTGACCGCGCAGCGAAAGCGGGCTGCTTGTGGAGAGTTGAGGGCTCTGGCGTCAGAGCTTGGGGTCCAAGATGACAATTTGCGCTTGGACATGACTGCGGAGCAGTTCCGGCGCGCAGCCGGAAGGCTCGTGGAGAGCTGCGCCACACCAGACCAGCGCCGGCAGCTGGAGAGGGCGGTGAACCGGTACCAGAACATTGTAGTGCCACCGCTCCCGGGCAGAGCCGCAGAGAATGCACGTAGCCAAGGGGAGGAGGCTGGTGTTGAGGAGGCGCGGCGGACCTTCCGGCTACGAGCAACTGGATGCTTGTTCACATATAATTCTGCAGACTTTCGGAGGGTCGTGTGGCCTGAGTTCATTGCTTGGCTGCGCACGCTGAATTTTCTTTTGCGCTGGACCGCCACTATGGAAGAGTCCCTCAGGTCGCTGGTGGCAGGTCGTTTGCACATGCACGTTTTCATGGAGTTCAAGCAAGCTGTTGATTGGACTTCCTTGCAGTCTGTTTTGTTCCAGGGTGTGACTCCGCACGCGTCCCCGTGCACGGCGCGCGGGCCCAGCGTGCGGGACGCCTTGAACCGTGGCCATTTCTATGTCTTTGCAGACAAGCAGGGCACGTTAGAGGTGGCCACGTCGGGGTGGGTTCCTTGGAGTGATTACAGCGTGAAAGGCTGGTGGATCGACAACCTATGGACAGAGCACAAGCTGCGCCACGATGTTTACTTGGACTACGCGTGACGCGGCTGTTGCTCAGAAAGTTTTTGTGTTTGTCTTGAGGGCCACCGCCCCGTTTGAGCAAGCGTTGGGACTACAATGTTAAAAACACGTGTTGGAATCCATCTGCAGACGATGTTTGACTCGGCCTTTTTCCACTCCCTCCCTCCCTCCCCTTCTTCTAATAACATTGTAAAGCCCAAACGGGGTGTCGGACCCGCGCATTGTAAATGAGGACCCGAGGAGGACCCGAGGAGGACCCGAGCGGACCCGCGCATTGTAAATGGGGACCCGAATGCGGACCCCGCGCCTGCAAAGGACCCGCAAGCTTTTGAGAACCCGCGCCCAAAAAACCGAAAAAAAAACCACGCATTGGAGATGAGGACCCGAGGAGGACCGGAAGAGGACCCGAGGCCAGACTAGTGAACGCAAGTTTGTGCCTGAGGTGCAAGATTCGGGTCGGCTTCAGCGGGCGGCAACGGCAAGTGGAGTCTGTCAGAGCATATGAGTGCGCTGCAGCTTTTCAACAAAAACAGCAAGAGATTGCTGGACGCCTGGAGCTGCTGAAGCGGCCGTTTCGCCCGGATGTTCTGGAAGCCTTGAGGCCCTGGGCGAACCAATACGCAGAGCTCAAGATGCGCTACAAGTTCCTTGTCCTGCGCGGCGGGTCGCAGACTGGCAAGTCGACCTTGGCAAAATCGCTCGGCGACGCTTTTGGGTGGCGGCCGCCTTATGTCCAGACGGTTCAAAGTGCGCCGGCTCCCGACCTGAAGGAGTTTCAGCGGGAGGAGCGCGGTTACATTGTGTTCGACAAGGTGAACCACATGGACTTTGTGTTGAACGAGCGAGCTTTGTTCCAGTCCAACAATGACATCCATACTCTGGGAAGCTCCCGAACGGGAATCTACTCCTATCCGGTGTGGTTGTTTCAAATGCCATTGGTTGTAACTGTGGATTTGTCTGCAGAGTGGAACTCTTCGGAGTTGTGGCTGGCAGACAATATGTTTGAAGTTTTTTTGGAGAGCCCGTGCTACACTTGAGCAATCTACACTTGAGCGCGATCTTAGTGTCAATGAAAAAGGCGCTGCCAGACTTGAAAATCTAAGTGTGACTAATCAATCCGCAAGCCAATTTCCCACGACTGGAGAACCTAAGTTGCCGGGGCGCTTGGCGTGTTCTTTGTGGAAATTGTTGTTGCAAGGGCCAGGCTTGAGCGCGAGTTGAGCTGCGCAGGGCGACTGGCAGCGCGTGGGGCTGTGTGGGAGTTTCGCGTGTGTCTGGCGCCAGGCTCTTGCGGCAGCCTTTGTCCTGGAGAGAGCTGGCGGCTTCAAGGTGCTACGTGGGTGGGGGGAGCTGTTTCTGCCTTAGGGTTTTCGAGCTGCTGTTTGAGAGCCGATGTTTGACAAAAGACTTGGTCCTGCGGGCAGTGCTTCCCCGCACCGTATTTGTGGTTTGTTGCACGTCCGTGTCGCATTTGCCAAAGAGGCGCCTCTCCGAAAGCTTTCTTCCCAAATACTGGGTCTTTCAAGTTTTTGGTCCAGCTCCGGAGCTTCGAACATGTTTTTCCGAAACGAGGCATTTTGGTCGTTTCTGCCTTAGGGTTTAGGGTGCGGACTTGTCAGCTCGTTTGCCCCGGCGCGGGTTGCAGCGCCCGCGCTTTAAACGCAAAGGAGAAGAGGCAAGATTTCGCATCGTGTTTTGAGCCAATGCAATTGCCAAAGAGGCGCCTCTCCGAAAGCTTTCTTCCCAAATACTGGGTCTTTCAAGTTATTGGTCCAGCTCCGGAGCTTCAAAAGCATGTTTTTCCGAAACGAGGCATTTTGGTCGTTTCTGCCTTAGGGTTTAGGGTGCGGATTTGTCAGCTCGTTTGCCCCGGCGCGGGTTGGAGCGCCCGCACTTTAAACGCAAAGGAGAAGAGGCAAGATTTCGCATCGTGTTTTGAGCTAGTGTTCGAGGAAGGCAGTGTTTTGAGGAGCAGCGGAGTTGCCTTGTAGAGTTTATTTAGTTTGGTGTCGAAGCCACCGTCGCTTCCAGCAGCGCCGGCCCACTTCTAGAGCCTTGCCAGCAAAGTTCAAGTAGCGAGCGCAGTCCTCGGCCATGGCGCCAAAAGCAAAGGC